GTAGGGCAGGCAGGAAATGCAGACAGGATTTCGATGTTAGAGTCTTAAGGCAGAATTCCTCATCTTCTGAGAAATCTCAGTTTTTGGTCTTACTGCTATCAACTGATTAGCGTAGGCCCACTCACATTATGGAGGGAAGTCTACTTAAAGTCAGCTGAGTATAGTTAATCACATTTATAAAATATTTTCACAGCAACACCTAGTCTAGCTTGGCTGGGCTGTGGTGACCAAACAGTTGGGCACCATAGCTTAGCCAAGTTGACATACAAAGTTGAGTCATCCCTTACTCTTTTTGCATCTGCTCACTTTTACTCAGTAGAATGACTTTGAGATTCACCCATGTATTCAATTGTTCATTCCTTTTTATTGCTGACTGAAATTCTTTTTTTTTTTTTTTTCGAGATGGAGTCTCGCTCTGTTTTCCAGGCTTGAGTGCAATGGTGTGATCTCAGCTCACTGCACCTCCGCCTCCTGGGTTCAAGCAATTCTCCTGCCTTAGCCTCCTGTGTAGCTGGGACTACAGGCATATGCCACCACGCCTGACTAATTTTTGTATTTTTAGTAGAGATGGGGTTTCACCATGTTGGCTAGGATGGTCTTGATCTCCTGACCTCATGATCCACCCACCTCAGACTCCCAAATTGCTGGGATTGTAGGTGTGAGCCACCGTGCCTGGCCTGCTGACTGGTATTCTATTGTATGAATACATGGCAGTTTGTTTAGTCATTCTCCTATCGATGGACACTTGGGCTATTTCCAGTTTTTGTCTAATATGAATAATGTGTTATGAACATTGGTGTATAAGACTTTCTGTGAACATACATTTTTATTTCTCTTTGGTAAATATTTAGCAACCCAATGGTAGATGTTTGTTTAATTTTAAAGGAAACTGCCAAACCATTTTCCAAAGTGTTTATACCATTTTGCATTTTCACTAGCAGTGTTTGAAAGTTCCAAATGCTCTACATTCTCTGCAGTATTCAGTGTTAATCTTTTAAATTTGAGCCATTCTAATGACTGGGTAGTGGTATTTTATTGTGGTTTAAATTTGCATTTCTTTGATGATGAATGATTTTGAACATTATTCCATTTGCCATTCAGGTATCTTCATTTATGAGATGTGAGTTTAGATCTTTTGCCCATTTTTCTTACTGGGTTGTTATTGAGTTGCAAAAGTTCTTTTTATATGCTGGATATTAGTCCTTGTTATTTATACATATGTATTGAAAAATATTCTATTCTGTAGTTTCTTCTATATTATCTAAATGGTGTATTTTGAAGAGCAAAAGTTAAAATTTTTATCAAGTCTTATTTGGGAGGTTTTTTTTGGCTACTGAAGAGTCACAAAGATTTTTCTTGAGTTTTCTTCTAGAAGGTGTGTTATATTTAAGTCTGTGATCTATTTTTGACTTTACCTTTTCCCTCACTCTCTATATTTGGATATCACCTGTCATAGATTTCTGTTTTAGAAAGGACTCACCCCCTTACTCCAACCAGTAAGGATTCTCTTTTTTTTTTTAATTATCTTTCTCCTGCTAAGAGATATCATTGGAAGGATTCTCTTTTAGACTGTTTTTGTTCAAGCCCTTGTTGTTTTTGTCCCTCACATTAAAATACCTTTCTCTTTGGTGTCCTGTATGTCATGTCTGTCTTCTCCAATCTGTTTCCATAATGCCATAATGTCATAAGTTGTTATTCTAAAATGACTCCAGTCATTCATGTTACTACCTTGCTGAAAAATTCTCAATACCTGTCAATTTCCCAAGAGTTGCCTAAATCTAGATGATGTCACTTGATGGAATCTCCATGTTGTAGCATATGACAAGGAGAGAGTGAATCAGCCAGTTTTCTATGTAAAAATTAATCCCAAACTTGGAAGACTAAGCCATAACTTCTGTTATTATATTTACCACATTCCATTGTCATTATTTTATTAGATTGAACTCTTTTTAATGTATTGCCTCTGATATTCTTCCCAGCATATACCAGACCATTGTGATACAGGAAACTGTGTTTTTTGAGGGAATAGTTGAGGAACCTTGGCAATTAAAAAGCCAGTGTTGGAAATCATTGACTTGAACGGTAGACTGGGCAGCCAATAAGCTTTGGGTGCTTTGTTTTTTTTAAAAATCATTTCATACGTAGAGGTGCTAATTTAAAGAGAATAATCTGGAAGACTAAATGTAGCCTTCAGTTTAATTAGGAAGTAGCTTTTTTTGAACCGGCAGTGGAAGATGTGATGAGGAGAATGGTAAGAGTAAATTCATTATTTATTCGTTAAGAATAAATTCATTATTCTGAACTCCCTCTGACTTACTGGATACTCTGCTTATTCCATCAGGGTCTTGCTGTTGTTTTGCTCTGAGACATAGGTATTTAAGCGTAAGACTACATATTTTCAGAAATAATAGAAGCATGTGTTCAAATTAAGTTTGTTCTTTGGAGGGTTTTTTTTTTTTAATGAAAGTAGGGCTCTGAAAGACACCTTATAAAACTTTTATGACTGCTATTCTAAGGTAGTATACAGGCTAAGTAAGTATCCGGGAGGTAGAATAATTTAGCCTGTAACTGTTAGTTTATTGATTAATGTTTGTAGCTTGATGATGTGGTGTAGATTTTGAGTCATTCTTTAGCATGTTTGCTCATATTACGCTTTGGAAGTATTTTAAACTAAACCTTCTGACTTCCGTGGTCCCAGGAGGTTAGCTGTAAGCTTGTACATCGTTAATTCAGGGAATGATAGTGACTGGAGTAACAAACTCAGAGGCCATTGAGAATTCGTAATGATTTTGTTGTATTTGTATGTAATTAGATCTTGTTGTGCTCCTATTTAAAACCTTCCTGTGGTTTCCCATTGCGCTTAGAATGAAATCCCAATGCCCTCCTAGGCCTGACTGCTTTTGCTGGCCCTCAGCCTTATCTCCTACCCCTCCTCCCCTTGGTAGCCTTGTTTCTCCTACTCTGCCTGAGGATGAAAGTGCACACTCTCCTTAGGCCTTTGTATTTGTGGACCCCTCTGTTGATGATCCTCTTCTTCAGACCTTCAGATCGGATGCTGCTTTTTCAGGTTTCCTATCAAATGTCACCTCCTCAGTGCAGTCTTCAGCAGTCTCTATTTCTCTCTAGTCACCTATTCCATTACACTATTTTAACTGTCTCCATGGTACTCGTCAACCTACTTCTGGTTGGTCAGTAATCCTCAGGACAGTGGTTGCCTTGCTGTGTGGTTAACTCACTGCAGTATCCCTGTGCATGGAGACACACAGCGGGTGTTGGATAAGTGTGCAGAGGGATGAATGTCATCTTTATCATCCTCTCTGAAGTAAGTGACGAATCAAAAACAACTTGTGGCTAAACAGATACTAATTGATACGATTGTCTGTTTAAATTACTCAATAATTGATTCATCTTTTCATTACCCGTACAGAATTCAATTACGGTAGAAACAGATACTGTCTTTTGTGGCTGGAGCTGGTATACAGATTATAAGGTTCTGTCTTGTGTTCAATTTGTCGGGTCATGATTTCTCTTCCTATCAGTTCTTTAATGTAGCTGAATAATAGTCTTTTTTTTTGTTTGTTTTAAGTTTCTATTATTTCCAAAGGTGTTTTGGGAATTGCTGAAGTATCATTAGGCCATGTTTTCTGTTTTTTTTGACTTAAAGCATGGCTGAGTCAGGCTGGTAGATTGAGAGCTCTTTGGGCTGGAGGTCAGGAAGCCCTGCCTCTGGTTTTAGTTCCGCCAGTAGCCAACTCTTCACATGAATATTTTGGCCCTCAGTTCCTTAATTTATGAAATAATAGAGTTGAGTGAAATGGTCTCAAATGTTAGTCTTCTTTTAACAGTGTATAATTATCTAATTCTGGGCAAGAACCAGTCATTTTGCACTTGTGGGAATTTTTATAGGTTTTATGGGTATGCGGTATATATGATAGTCATCCAGTTATCATTAAGCTTTTCAAGAATGGTCAAATTTGTTTTACTTAACTGAACATTAAAACATCTGAAGGATGCTAGTTTATTTCACTTTTTGTTTGTTTTTATTTTTGGCAGTGGCTGCAGTAAGAAATATTATACGTGATTTGTTGGGCATATTGACATAAAAATTGGCAGTATTATTTAAGTGGATAGTAAAACTTTGTCTTCAGGATACTTATTTGGCCTTTGCACAGTTTCAAGGATCCCAGCCTTTTTCTTCTTTGGCAGTTTTATAATTGACTTGGCCTCATGTGTACTACTTTAGCATATCAGTTTTACTTGAAGTTCATATCATTCTTCATTGATATTAGATATGTATCAGTTTTAAGAAACCTTATATGCTGCATGCTGCATTCAGTATTATATAATTCAGTGCTCATCAAAATTACCTTAGGATTTGTTAAAACATGGATTGCTGGTCCCCACCCTGAGTTTCTGATTCAGTAAGTCTGGAGTGGGGCCTGAGAACTTGCATTTGTAAGAAGTCTCTTGGTTATATCACTGCTGATCCAAGAGCCATGCTTGGAGAACCTCTGCTGTAGTTGTTCAAGTTCTTTATTTGCATGTGCTGGCAGCATTTTAGAAGTCTTCCTTACTGTATACTGATACATCTCAACAATACATACACCTTGTGGTTCTTGGATTCCCTCATAAGATACTTCATATCCTCTCCAGGTCCCTGGTTAGTGTGATACATAACACAATTTTAAATACCAGTGGAACTCTTAACAACAGGATGCTTCCAGTAACTTTTTTTTTTTTTTTTTGAGATGGAGTCTTGCTCATGTTGCCCAGGCTGGAGTTCAATGTTGTGATCTCAGCTCACTACGACCTCTATCTCTTGGGTTCAGGTGATTCTCCTGCCTCGGCCTCCTGAGTAGCTGGTATTACAGGTGCCCACCACCATGTGTGGCTAATTTTTTTTTGTATTTTTAGTAGAGACGGGGTTTCACTATGTTGGCCAGGCTGGTCATGAATTCCTGACCTCAGATGATCACCCGCTTTGGCCTCCCAAAGTACAGGCATGAGCCACTGCACCCGGCTGCTGCCAGTAACTTTAACCTTTCAAGTTTGTGTGTTTAAGTGGAAAAAGCATGCACGTAGACATTTTGGTTTATTCTTGAGAACACTGGCTTTCGAATCCAAAAGCTCTTGGCTCAAAGGTTAGCTCTACCACTTATTTGACTATTCGAGTTTGGGAAAACTATGTAACGCTTCTAAATCTTAGTTTTCTTAATTGTTAAAATTTTATATTTGCCTCATAAGATATTTCGGAGAGCTTAAGTAAATTAGATAAGGTATATAAAGTACTTCATACTCTAATTGGTAGTTTAGAAAAGTTTGTATGTCAGTCTAAATGGTTATAACTTTGATGTGGTTTTGGACAATGTTTCTCTCTACTTCATGTCTTGCCTTAATGTGGGTTGCTCACCTAACCTGCTTACCAGGGCCTCACCATGGATAGTAGACAGGTGTCTACTTCACCTTACGTGTTTGGAAATGCTGTGTCTTGTTCCTGTCTAACCTGGCTCTTTATCACGGGGCTCTTAGTTTTGGTTCCTGGCCCCACATCAGGCCCTTCCTGCCCTGGTGAGCTGTTGCAGCCTGTTTCTCTGACTCTCCCTTTCACTGGTGAGAGTCACTGGGTTCTGGAGTGGTTTTGTACTCCTCTTTCTGGCTCCACATGAAAACCAGTATGGTTAGAGGTATATTTCTACCCTTCCACCTGGGATAGGAGGATTTTTTTTTTCACCAAATCAATTATTTTAATCTTTAAATTCTTTCCGAAAGTGTGTCATTTGAATTTATAGTCAATCTTGCTTTTCTTCTGCTTTTAACTTCCAGTTTTAATGCTGCGTGTTTATTAGAAACATAGCCTTATGAAGAGAACTTTGATTTATTGTATTGTATTAAAAAGGGCCAATATTCACCAGATTTTCATTAGCTTAGAATACATAGGAGAAATTTTTAGCTGTGAGTCTTGTTGATTGTGATGAAGATTCCCTTAAGAAACTGTTTTAGTGACTAATAAAGTCTTGTGAGAAAGTGCTAGTTGCTTCCATCACAGATTACACTTAGTGGCAGCGTTGGAGGTTCAGTGACTTGTCATGGTTTTGCATTCTTTTTTTGGTTATGGTCATGAATTCTCTGTTGTCCTAAGGCCTATTGTAATGATATGTTTTCAGCCACACTTATGATTTCATGCTTTTCAGATGCCAAAGGGGTTTGTCTTTGTTACACATTTACACAAACACTTTGCTTCCTATTTCCTCTTCACTTTATTGATGCTCCTCTTGCCCAACTGGAGGGTGTCGGCGGAGAGACGTGAGTCTGCCTGAGCAGGTATCTCCTAATCCTGAGTTTTGCTTGTGTTGGTGAACATGTGGCAAGCCTCTTCCGCTGGACCAAGTGAGAGTCCTGGAGAGAGAACAGAGGCACCAGATATAGACTAAGGTGTAAGGAGCAAGATGTAATTGTTTAACTCAACTGGATTTTTTAATTGGGTGGAATAATTAATTCAGGGTTGGCACACCTAAAAAGATGTGACTTACTGTGAAGGATTCATTAATAAATAATTGGGCTCTCCCTGCCATATATATATTCTTGCCTAAAAGCATCTTTGTATGGCGCAGTGATATTATATATAAATTGAATTGACATGAATTCAGCTGTATGTACTCCATCTTTTATAATAACTGTAATTGTTATATATGTGACAATTCACAAATGAAGGAATTTACAGTAATAATTTCAATAATATCTGATTTTATACTATTCTTTACTGACGTTAATATCTATCTGTAAGATAGGGATAAATCTCCTATAAATTCTTACCTATAAATTCTTTGAGGGTAGGAGAAGTAACGAGAGGTAATGACTTTTGATGTTGTTAAAGATGGCATACCAAAGGGCAATGCAGTGGTAATTTTTGACAGATTAAGATCAGATGTTTTCGGGGCAAAGAGCTATTTGTTTTTTGACTTCCAGTGGTCTGTTTTTTGACATCTGTTTGTGCTGGAGTAAAATTAATTTATTTACTTTTATAATGTTTTTAGCAGTTAGCCATAGTTTGGGTTGGTTCCAGCTCTCATAATTGAATCACTTTGATGAGAATTTATGAGAATCTTTACATAGTTAGGGACCAATAAAATACTGTTCTTGCTAGAAGATAGAAATGATACCCAACAATAGTACTCATGTTAAAACTTAGTGAGTTGAGTATTTGTTTTCAGAATTTAAAAAAAGAAAAAAAGGTGAGTCACCTATAGTTACAGATCTTGATTCTGCTCCCCACAAGCCTTTCAATAAATGCTATATTGTAATGGTTATTGCAACAAGAAGCTATTGTGTGGCACTCATGAAATGAGTATCTCTTTTGATCCATGAATAGCGCTATTATCAAGGGGACACTTGAAGCCTGGAAGAAAAGCTTTTCTTTTGCCCTTTCTTCTGGATGCATTTTTTTTTCTCTTAGAATAGCCACCAGTTTATATTTGGAATATAGCCTAATAACTGGTGCCCTAGCCTCATTAAATCTTGTTTCTTATTGGGTGAAATGATTGACTGTAAGTACAACAGTCCAATATGGAAGTAAAAAAGCAATACTCAATTTATAGCTGACTTTTAGGAAACGTACTTGTCGCAGTTTTGGTCTGGTCTCGTTCAAGGAAGGGCCTGAGAGTGAGAAGAAAGATGGCCACAGCAAGGAAGGCATTTCTTCTGCCAGCTGGCTAGGCAGAGCCAAAGCTGCTGGGCTACAGCTGGGAGCACTTGTAACTCCAGACCCAGGCTCACGGCCTCCAAGGTGGTGCATCTTTAAGATTCAAGATGATGGGGAGAATTTTGAAGTTATTTTTATTCTCTGATTGTACTTTCCTCATCCTAGACTTCACATGGGCAGACAGACAGTGGGGTACGTTTAAAGCAGTGGTTCTTGTAAGCATTTGGCAACATCTGGAGACTTTAGTTGTCACAGGTAGAGGGATTACTCTGGCATTTGTCACTGGACAGTGAAACATCCTGCAATACACAGAATAGCCTCTCAGGAAAGAATTATCTGGTCCCACATGTCAATAGTGAGAGTAACAGAGGAATGTAAAGTTTCTTCTATCATGGTCTCAACCTGAAGGCTAGTAGAAAGAAAGCAGGGGCAGAATTCTTACTTTAGGCCTGAAAAGGAGAGTAATAGAAGTTGGTGTACTGGCCAGGCGCGGTGGCTCAAGCCTGTAATCCCAGCACTTTGGGAGGCCGAGGCGCGTGGATCACGAGGTCGGGAGATTGAGACCATTCTGGTCAACATGGTGAAACCCCGTCTCTACTAAAAATACAAAAAATTAGCTGGGCATGGTGGCGCGTGCCTGTAATCCCAGCTACTCAGGAGGCTGAGGCAGAAGAATTGCCTGAACCCAGGAGGCGGAGGTTGCCGTGAGCCGAGATCGTGCCATTGCACTCCAGCCTGGGTAACATGAGTGAAACTCCATCACACAACTGAAAAAATAGCATAAAAAAAAAAAAAAAAAGAAGTTGGTGTACTATGATAACTCATGACGGATTTTGTAGCCATACCCATAAGCTGTCATCTTCAGACGGAAAAGAAGTTTAAGGGCTAAGTTAGTTCCAGTGAAGGCCAACTTGCATTTAAGTGAGTGGTACAAAATCAGAAACTGCTTAAGCCACACATTTGTCTGTGTGTTGAAGAAATGGGAGAATTATCACTAATAAAATCACATTTTTGTTTGCAAATATATAGCTTGATTCAGTATGTGTGACGTTGTTGGATTATACTTTTTGGTTGTTTCATTTAGTCCTAACTGAACTTTTTGACAGTGAATTAGAACAGAGCACAAGTCTAGTTTCACTGACACTTAAATCAGCAGAAGATTATAGGGATCCTTTTTTGAATTTAGTAATTGTGGTTTCTTTTTTGACGTAGTTGCCATAATTGAGAAACTGAAGCGTGGTCTGTTCAGGGCAAAATGAGTCATGAAATCAGAAAATATATAGATATTTGTGGAGAAAAAGATTAATATAGCATAAATGCTAGAGGAGGGAAGAATGATTTGAAAAACTCCTGTTTTACAACGAAGGCAATTAAATCATAGCTCCAAAATTAGGTTGTTATAAAACATAGAAAACCAGATAATTGGTATGTTTTTCTGTTTGACTCTCAGTTTTAAAGGACTGTAATTGATGTATTGTTTATATTGTTCACTAAATACAGTGTTTGGCTGATAGGGAGGGAATAGAGAATGCATGTGATCGCTCAGAGATATGTAGTGCTTCTCTCTCAAAACAATTACAGTGCTGCGGCTGCCAACGGTGATGTCACAGTCAGTGGATAAAGAGCCATTTAAGACTGTTTGTATCATCCTCAGAAGGACAGGGCGAATTTATGTAATATCTGAAGCAGTGTTAAGATTCCTGCTGTGATCATCATTCAGGAAAGGAGAGAGTAGTTTGTATAGAGGGAGAAGCAGTTGCTCCATTTGTTAGAGCAGAAGCAGAAATTCCAAGCAGTACCTTGGGACTAAAACAGAGAAAATAAGGCTGGTTTCTCTACCTTTGTACTGTGGCTATTAGAGATGGTGTTGGGCAAGACTGATCTACCTAGATTGTAAATTTTAGTGTCATTTATACGTTAGTAACATCCTTCTGGGGTGAGGAAAATGGCGTTAATATAGACTTAAATTGTGTATGAAAAAAAGTTTCCTTACAGGCAAGAAAAGTGTAACATAAAAGTAATTTTCTGAATGCCAAAGGCCTTCTCCCTCCACTGCCCACTCTGCTATTTTGCTAAAATTTGGGTATTGTTTTTTCGTTGGGTCATTACCCTTCATGCTGGATTTGGGGCCTAAGTAAGAAAGGAATATGCTGTCGGTTAAATTTTGGAGGCGAAGAAACCATGCCATCATTTGGTACAGCCCGAGTGGGCCAGGCAGAGGGAAGAGTGGTAAGCTGAACTGAATTGTATTTCAGTATTTTCAATGCATAGTCAAGTGCCTGACATGTAACAAGTGCTTAATCAATAACTGTAATAATTTATAGGTAATAATAATGGGTAAATACTCATAAGGAGATGACTGTTTCCTAAATCTATCTCTTACCACCCTCTTTGACTTTCTGCCCCTGCCTTAACTCAGAGTGTCATTCATTTCTTATAATCAGTTTAACCAGACAGTGATAGCCTCCAGCGTGGTCTCCCAGTTTCTAGTCCCTTCTGCACACTGATGCTAGAGCATCTTCCTGTAAGAGAGACATTACATTTCTTACTATAGGCATCTGTGGCTAATGCTCACAGGTGAAAGTGAGTTTTTAAAGTGTTCCTTGTAGTCTAAGGAGTAATAGGTATTTTAAAAGATAAACATTTTTATTCTATGTCTACAAGCCCTCTGTAGTAGACTGATGAGTCTGATGCTTCCCATATCTTGAACTTTATGAATTGAACCATCGAGTTTGTTATTTATTGTTACCACCATCTTCGTGTTGTTGTTGTTGTTTTGTTTTGTGATCCTTACTTTCACTATTACTTTTGGTTGAGAGTTAAGTCCATGGATTCAGACCGTCTTGGCTGTTTTATTTCCTAGCTCTGTTACCTTAGGTAAGTTACTAATCTCACTGCCTTATTTTCAAAGTAGTTGTTTCTAAGAGGTTTACTGTTGTCTTTTCTTTCTGTGACAAACTTTTCATTTAAACATCTGATTTTCTTGATCAATATTAAGGAGAAAAAGCCATCTATAATTTAAGAATGCTGTTTTCAAAGCAAATGAATGAAAAGTCTTTACATTTTCTGTATCTACACTTAAAGGCTGTCCTAAGCTCTTGCTCTTAATAGTAGCTACACTTAGTAGAATGATTTTTGGTAAAAGGTTCACAGTCTACTTTGTGAACTGCCTCTCCTAAAAGCTGCCAATTGTGCCAAAGAAATAATGACATTTGTCTTCGTTTCTTGCAATGGTTTGTGCAGTTTATTTAGTATAACACTTCTTCTCTAACATGATTAGAACTAGTATTTGGGCAGTTAATTGAAAAAGCTGGCTAAAGGAGAATATAAAATCTTTAAGGTAATTTGCAAATACTTTCCTCATCCTAGACATTATCTAGAGGTAGGGAGGTATAGAATACTTCTAAAGCATTTATGTATGTATGTATGTATGTATGTATGTTTGTATGTTATGAGATGGAGTCTCATTTTGTCGCCCACGCTGGAGTGCAGAGAATAGGTTTCTTTCTGAACCTATTTTGGTATTTTTATTAATTGATTCACTTGATTGAGTTTCTCCAAAGCGTTCCGTTTAATTTTCACAGAAATTACTTTGCCTTCATATTTCACTGGTCTATGTAAATGTTATTAATAATATAATTACAAGTACAATTAGCATTTACCATGCAGGAGGGGTGGGGGATAGGAATATGCTGTGCATACTAGTGGGAGATCCCACGATGTTATGGATTTCACTGGTGGAATGGAGATGTGTGATATTTACTGAAGTAATGGAGATGTGTGGTTAATCCAGTGGATTGGTTAAGTGGAACTTGGTTAAGACTACATTTGCTCTGTTCAGAGTCTTTATCAAGTCTGCTGCCTTTGGGAGAACATTACTAGTTTTATCAGACCTCAGTGGCACCGTATTCATTCAGTATCCTGTCATAAACATTTCATGTCTGTTATTTGATTTTTTCAATAATACATCAATGAAGACGTTATACCAATAGTATTTTCTATCTGTTTGAAGCCGTGGTCTCCTGAGGCTCAGCATCAGAGAGGCCCTTTTAAGTTTGTTTTCCTTAAATTCCTTCCTTTGAATTGGTTGTTAACAGAGAACCCCTAGGCTTTATCTCCAGGAGGCGGATCGGCTTTCACTGCCCAGGTGTCGGTAGTTTGGCACACTTGGATTTTTCTGAATGAGCCGGATACTGTGGGAGTTCAGGAAGCCACGGTGGTAAAGCAGGGACTAGAATGGTGGGAATAGGGAAGGATGGCTGTTGTCAGGGACAGTAGGGACTAAGCAGGACTTGCAGTGCGTGTGTAATCCCGCTGTAATTACCAGGGACAAGTTAGAAATCAGTCCCTCCCCTTCTCAATTTATATTGAAATTGTGTCTTCTGGTAAAAGGTGAAATCTTTTTCCTTTTGTATGCTGTTTATAACAGAGTACTGGTTTATGTAATTCAAGTGCCTTCAAAAATAAATGGGTAGTAAGGGGTGTGTGTGTGTGTGTGTGTGTCTGTGAAGTCAAGGGGCTGTTCTTCAGTCTATGAAGGTGTGTCACCATAAATTGTAATTAAAACTTGTATATCTTATGTTTTTCAAAACGTCAGTCTTCAGTTGTAAAATTACCATACCAAACCGTTGATACTGCACAACTTCTCTTTTTGGTACTGGATAGATAAACCAAGGACAGAGTATTCTGGATTCCAGAGAAAGGATGGTTTACTCAGGATGCCTTTTTTTTCTTTTTCTTTTTTCTTTTTAGCTTAATAGATTGCTCTTACTTTTTGAAATACAGCTAACCCCAGTTATCTCTCTGTGGAACATAGGCAAGAAGAAACTTACAGAATATCTTGGCCACTGCCACCCACTTTTTCTCTGTGGTCTTTTTAGCCTAAGCTTCAGAGAAATCACAGTGCATTAAATGATTTCTTTTGGAGTATCTGAAATTTTATGTAATGTTCTTTTCTCCTCTTAGCATGTTTGTTTACATAAATTTATTATATATTTCTTATATCTTATATTCTTTCATCTCTTTGTGTTCTTAAATCTGTTTTTCTGTTGTGCAAAGGGAACCAGTTCTACCAGGCCCTTCTGTCTTGGTGTTAGCAAATAGGGGCGTGTTTAAAAAAAAAAACAAAACAAAAAACCCAGCTTTAACCTGCAATGGAAGTGGCTTGCCTCCTTTCCCATCACTGAGATGTTAATGTTGTGGCAGGGAAGCCCATAAAGCTAAATTAAACAAAGCCACATCAAGGCTTTGTGTCAAGGCAATAAACCAGACAGGGAGAACCTCACTGATGTCGGATGAACATGGTCGGGGGTGGGGAAGCAAGATGAGCTGAAATTGTTCCTCAGCTGTGCTGGGTAATTTCTTTCCTTAAGCATTAGTGAATATATGCAAGATTTTGTTGTTTTTCCATAGAAACAAACAATGGCAGAGAGCATTTTCATGTAAGTAGGTGGCATTTTTGTCGTGAAAGAATCCTTGCTTGAAAAAATAATCTCAGATAGCTCTGTGTGTGCGTGTGTGTGTGTGGGGGGGGTGGGGTATAGCTATATAAATGACAAACTTAGTTGTTAAAAACAATGCCTTTGTTTTTGAAGAGTCAGATAGACAAATACATCTCAGAATTTATAAAACATCTCATTTTTTCCCCAGAATTTTCTGGGCTGTTTTTAATAAGATCGTTTGCAGAGGAAATACTGATCTTGTTCTCTGCCATGATGGCTTAGGTGCAGTAGGGAAGCCCAGCGAGGGGGGTCGGGGGATGGGGTGATGGGGTGGGAGCGGGGACTGACTCCCTCAATTCTTCATCAGTGTCTTCTCACACAGCATAAACCTTCTGCACCTCTGATGCCTAGACTGTAAGTACCATTCTTTTTATCTCCAAGTTCCTGCTCTGTCTGGCTTTTGTTTCTTTATGTTGCAAATCCCTGATGCTGTTTGGAATGCACCTTTTTGTTCTGTGGCTGGGAAGTTCTGAGTGATGAAGTAGTTCAAGGCTGTACCTGAGACCAATTTAATATATACATATATATGCATATTCATCGACATGAGTATAAGGAAAGTAAACATATAAACCTTTGATGCTTTTCACAGTAACAAATTTTCTTTGGCTTTTTTCTTTAATGAATTTGATAGGTCATTTATTACAGTTGAAGTCCTGTGTGTGTAAGTATACTTATTTTCCAGCTAAGTTTTAGAGATAAATTATATGTGAGGCTAGTGATTTAATGGGCTATTGTGATGATGGAACAGCAGCTAGGAATAGCAGGAAATACAGACTGCATAAAAGAGAGTCCGTGCCTTCCATGAATTTTTTAAACATTTGGAAAGGTAAGATATAAGGTTAAATACAGGTACACCTCAC